CTCTACCACTGAGCCACCTTCTCAGCCCTGCTTCTTTTTTAAGAAAGTGAAACTCAAGCTCACGGCTGTAATCCTAGCTACTGAGGAGGCTGAGATCTGAAGATCATGGTTCAAAGCCAGCCTGGGCAGAGAAGTCCATGAGACTCTTATCTCCAATAAGCCACTCAGAAAACCGGAAGTGGAACTGTGGTTCAAGTGGTAGAGTGCTTGTGTTGAGCTGAAGAGCTGAGGGACAGTGCCCTGGCCCACAATTCAAGCCCCACTACAGACCCTTCCCACCTTCTCCCCCCACCAAAAAAAAGGAAGTGAAACTCAGATTCTTGTAATGATCAAGTGTGTGGCTTTGTCCATTGAGGTAAACTGAGTTTTGGGAGCCACAGGTTTTTGTTGTTATTTGTGCCAGTATTAGGGTGTGAACTCAGGCCCTGGGCACTGTCCTTCAGCTTTTTCACTCAAGGTAGGCATTCTACCACTTGAGCCATACCTCTACTTCTGGCTTTTTTGGTGGAGAACTGAAGACAGTCTTATGGACTTGCCTACCTAGGCTGGCTTCAAATTGAGACTCTCAGATCTTAGCCCTCAGAGTAGCTAGGATTTTGGAGGAGAATTGGAGATAGTCTTAGGAACTTGCCTACGTGGTCTGGCTTTGAGGCCCTAAGACCTCAGCCTCCTGAGTAACTAGGATTATAGGCATGAGCCACTGGTACCCAGTGGAATCCACAGTCTTTACTAAGGAAGTCTTCAGACTTCGCTTTTTTTCATTTGAAAATGAAAGGAATAAACTTAAAGCTACTGCATAGAGTCAATGTCATGAACTACCTATGTAGTCTGGGTTTCCAGACAGTAGTAACTTTGCCTAAAGGGTCTATACTTCAGAATGAAGTACACACAGCAACTGGTTATCCTCAGACAGCTGTATGGGTTCTCAACCCATAAGGGTTTTCCCAAGAGAGGCTTACCTACTACGTAACCATGCTTTTTAAAGTGATTAAGTTGATTTTGTTCTTCCTCACTAAGATCTTCTTCCGTTTTAGTTGCATCTCTTTTAAGTCTTTTATGTCTTGCAAACATTCTGTATGGAGTTGGGTTGGAAATAGGAAACTTCAGAAGGTTTAATGTAGTACCTGAAATATCAAAGAACAAATAAAGTTTTAAGGAAAGGAATAAAGGGAGGGAAACATTTCTGAGAGTCCACAGTGTTGGCTCCTGTGATTTATGTAACTTAACCTTCATGACAACATTCTATAAAATGAATCCAGCTTTACACATGAGCAGACAAGTTCACAGACTGGTTCACAGACTAACCCAGGATAGGAATCCAAAATGTAAAGCCTGATTTATTCCAATTTTCACTTTGCCATCCAATACAAAAATAAAATTTGTGATTCAGATGAGGTCAGCTACATTCAGAGTATGCAACAAGTAACTTTGTGTAACATGTAATCACAGTGCAAGACAAAGGATAGCTGGCAAAAAATAAACTGTAGAGAAAAAAATGGGAGATCTGACTGTGTACAGAATCATATAAGGAACACACAATCACAAAAGTCCCTCCCCCTTCCTTCTCCCTGTTTTTTTTTTTTTTCTTTTTTTGAGACTCAGCTGGTCTGGAACCCCATCCTCCTCTTGCCTCAGCCTCCTAAGTGCAGGATTTACAAAACGAGTAGAAGTACAGCTTTGGCTTAAGTGGTAGAGTGGCAGGCTTGAGCAAAAATGAGTTCAGAGACCGTGCCCAGGATCCAAGTTCAGGCCCTATGACCGACCAAAAAAAACCCAAACCAAAACAAAAAAACCAACAGAATGGGTGCCACCAGCCTGGCACAGAAATTTTCTTCTCTCCTTATTCCTCCCCCCTACCTTTTCTCTCATCTGCACTCAGGGCCTTGAACTTGCTAGGCAGTTACTCTACCACTTGAGATACTCTGCTAGCCCAGGATTTTCTTCTTCCTTCCTTTTTTTGTGTGAGACTGGGACTTGAACTTGGTACCTAATGCTTCTGTTCATTATCTAGCCCTCTTCAAACCGTGCTACATCTCCAACCCCAGAAACTCCTTTTTTTTTTTTGCCGGTCATGGGGCCTGAACTCTGGGTCTGGGTGCTGTCCCTCAGCTCTTCAGCTCAAGGCTAGCGCTCTACCACTAGAGCAACAGCACCACTTCCGGCTTTTTCTGTTTATGTGGTGCTGAGGAATCGAACCCAGGGCCTTATGCTTGCAAGGCATGCACTCTACCGCTGAGCTACCTTCCCAGCCCCCCCAGGAACTTCTTAAAAGTCACAAAAACAAAATTTCTCTTAACCCAAAGCCCATACTGCATTAATGAATCGCTCAAATATAGAATAATGGTCTCAAGCATGAGTTCAAGAGGTGAAGAGTTGAACTGAGAGGTTCAGACACTTCTCAACGATTTCTGAAAGGCATTGCAAATTTCCAGAAAAACATACAAAGGAACAAGGGAACTTCCAAAAGAGCAAGGGATTTAAGTATCTGGTGGGTCTCTCCTGTCCAGGGAATGGAACAGAGAAATGGTCCACAATCGTTCCTACTCGAAAAGTAGCACATATTCAGAATTTCCAAACGCTAAGCTGACACAAAAGAGAGGTGTGACCAAAGTAGGTAGAGAATTTTTTAAAGGGATGGCTCCAGGTTGCCTACGATGGACATTCAGGAAATGCCTAGGCCAAGTGGTTTCTCGACAAGCGTGTCTCACCTGGCCAAGGGGAGATGGTGGCTCGGTCGATGGCCTCGGCACCTTTAGCGGTGCAGTAATCGGACTCTAGCAGTGTGTTAAAGAGAGTGGATTTGCCCGTGTTGGTGGCGCCCACCAGATAGACGTCGCCCCGGTAGCGCCAGGACCGCTGAAGCGCGGAGATCATTTCTTCAATTCCATAGCCGGTCTTGGCGCTGATCAGCCTTACGTCCCTGACCACCGTGCGGGACCGGGCCGACAGATTCTTATGGTCCCCATCATGTGGCTTGTCTTCGCTGGGTTGTTGTGGTCCTTGATGGCCAGGTGCCAACAAGAGCCCGGCGCGGGCACAGTCGTCCCAGAGACGCTCTCGGAGCCGCTGCAGGTAGCCAGGTGCGTCCTGGGGCAGCAGGTCTACTTTGTTCCCCAGCACGATGAGCTGTTTGGGGCCCACCAGCGACGGCAAGTCGGGCAGCAGGGAGTCGGGCAGGTCGAGCAGGTCCACCAGGTAGAGTACCAGAGCGGGCCCCGGCCGGCGCAGCGCGGCGCTCACCAGCTCCCGGTACTGGCCGCGGCTCACCTGCAGGCGCAGGGCGCGCCGGTGGTGCACCAGGAGCC